GGGTAGCTTTGTCCATGTGTTCTGAAGATCCTTTCAGCTCTGCCATTCTAGGATGCTGGAACTCAGATGCATAGATGTAATGCTACTGAAACATTTAAAGGGATGGTATAGCAGGCAAGGAAAGAAATCTCCTGATTTATCCTTGGACCTGAACCATAATTTCTCACTGGAGCAATATTGCTTCTTCTCTGTTTCTCAGGATCTGGGTGACAGCTGTTCAACCTTTTCCAAGAATGCTGTAGCAACTAAAAGAAGAAAACAAGGTAGGAGGGAAAGGATGAATAAGAGAGGGAGGGGAAGCAAATGAGGCAATAAACACAGAGAAGGTCAGAGAGAGACAGGAACAGAGGGTCATAGGGAGTCAGAGAGGGACATAGAAAGAAACGGAGGAGAGAGTCAGAGAATGAAACATGAACACAGAATCACAGAGAGTCCGGGAGACATAAACAAAGGAGAAACATGCACAGAAACAGAGGCAAGGAAAAGGAAAAGGAGAGACAGAAAAAGAGAGCTAAAATAAAACAGAAGCAAAACATAGCCACAGAAAGAATCAGAAATAGACACAGGCAAAGAAATTCAGAGATAGAGACAAACAAAAGGAGAAAAGGTCTTGGGGGCTGATGACAAGACACAGACACAGAGATTTCCAGGGTGGAAAAGGACAAAAAGAGGTATTTTTATCATTTTTTCAAACAATCACCATTACCAGATTGTTCCCCTCCCAGGTAGCATGGATGGGGAGGGAACCTTGGGCCCCTACTGTCTCTCTCCTCCTCTAATGCTCTGCTTATGCACGAAAGACAAAGTTATTTGAATCCTGGGTGTCATTAAATGCTCTCTTGCCTTCATTTACAATGTGCTAGAACATGATGCTCCTCTGGAGATTTCGTGTAGGAGAGAGTCCCCGCAGCCAAGAATAGCAGGGGCTGCCAGCCGTCCTCCTGAAACCATAGCCCAACCCAGAGTGGGAGGATGCTCACACTTCAACTTCATGAGTTTGCAACTTCAGTTTAATAGGCCCAGCAGGGCCAGCACCAAACAAATCCACGCCTGGCCCAGAAGCAATCCCACCCCCAGCTGAGCTCCTAAGAAAGCACTTGCTTAAAATGTGATACGAAGTCTGGTGAAGACTCCACACACTGCAGATATTTGTTGATTCTTGGATTTCCTTCAGGGAGCCTGTGAGCTCCTTGAGAACAGAGGGATTTATTTATTCATCTCAGCTTTTCTGGACGTCAGGCTCTCACGATTTGAATGGCACCTTCAGTCAATTGCCTCAAGTTGTGGCTCAGCATCCATATCAGTCCACACATTGCCATGCTTTTCTTTGTTTGCTTTTTTATACCATATCCTTTCCCAAAATCTCTTTTCCCCTCAGTCATTCAGGCATCCATTCTCATTTCTGTTTCATGCCTGTCTTTTCCAAACCACCCTTCACTTGTTGAATTTCAGACATGTGGCTCCAGGAACACGGGCTATACTGCTCTGCATGTGCCATCTCATTCCTCCCTCAGTGACGTTGCAGTCTACCTTTCATGCTACCTTGTACTCACTGCATTTCTGTTTTAAAAGCACCTTGTGTGGTGCTTGCCACTTAGTAGGTGCTCCACAAGTATTTTGATAAAATAATGAATTTCTACATCTATTTATCACTCTTCCTTACAAGAATATATGACTACTGTGTATGGTTTACATACAGGGCTTCAGTGCTTTCTACAAATGGGAAGGCATAAACTCCGCTTTTTACTTTCTGAGCTTACCCAAAGAAGGTTTGAATCAACCTGAGAACCCCCAGGGTAAAGTGGAATGACCACTGGAATAGGAATCTGGAGATCTGAGTCAGAATTCTCAAGTCTACACATTTGTTACTTGAGAGATCTCAATTTCATTATTTATAAAATATGGGCAGCAAAATCTACCTTGCTTACCTCTCATGGTGGTCAAAGGAGCTAAAAGTTGGAAAGGTTTTGGTAAATGGCAAGAACTTAACCCTCCAGCCTTATATAAGGTTATTTATACTGGCATTAACTTAGAGATCAATAAAAATGTGTTCATTTTAAGCTCCCTGGGGAAGTGTCTGGCCGCATAGTAGGAACTTAATCTTTATTGAATAGAGAAATAATCTTGCTCCCCTTTCTGAACTACCTCTTATTTACTTTTCTGCATTCTAATACCTCACTTCTTGTTGTTCAGCTTTGTCTTCATTTTCAGGCCAGACTCATGTCGTTGACGTAGAAGACCGAAGAGTCACCATCTTTCTCATGACCTACCTTGCTCCATTGGATATTGGAGGTACTTCACCTCTGATTGCATGAATATCACTGTCTCCAGAATTCAAATCCTTTGGAGGATTTAGACCATAATATTTTCCTTAATTCAGACTCACATTTTTATATCAAATCAATGGAATGGCCAAAAAAAAAAAAAATCTGTGCAACAGTTCATGAGAGAGGAAGAATTGGCCCCAGAGATTTAAAAGGCAATACTCTGGCCTGAAGTCTCGGAGAGGTGGGAGAAGCAGGTGTTACAGCCCTAGCACAAAAAGGAAGTGATACAGTTGAAGCCACTAGACCAATCTCCATCCCACTTAAATAGTCCCTTCCAGTACTTTTGACCTCATGCCTGGGGTTCAGGGGTCAATCCCTTACAATATCAAAGGAGACCAGCAATGCCCCATCCGTGAGAATGAAAAAGCTTACTTCGTATTCAAAATTCCTAAGGAGCAGCAGCACTGCTTTTGTTTACTCTGAGCACTTCCCCTGAAATATCCTGCAAATAAAAACAGCTTTGAAATTCAGGCTCCGTTTAAGTTCAACTTTCCAAACCTTTGCTGGTAATCCTTTTTTAATTGACATAGAATGTATCCTCAATTATTAATAGAAAGTGTATTTTTTGGAGTCTAATTAAATGCCCTAATCACATTCCTACCATTAAAAATGGTTTTCGATTTTGTTGGTTTTTGTCTTTTAATGAGCTATTTACTCTGCTGTTAACTACAGTGTGGCTGAAAGGGGAGATTCAAAAACAGCTCCACATACTCAAAAAGAAATAGCTTTGTTATTGATAAAAATAATAACCTCATGTACAGCAGGGGGTGGTAAGAAAGCCTAAATTTATGGCTGCTGTGTTGAATGCGCAAATGTCACTTCCTTAAAGAGGGAAAATTAGTTTTTAAGCCTGGTTTAGCAGCCAGAATCTCTGGCGGTCTGTATAATATTGGATTTTTCAAAGCTTCTATGATGCCCTGGGGTGGGCTGTTTTGCATTCAAATTGCAAATTATGTAACGTTGAAGATGTTATTTAAGGAAAAAATGACGACCGAGTTCTCATTCTTTTTTTATTCATTTTCCTTTTAAACCTTTCTTGTCCTTCATCTTTAGCTGACATTTATTGAGTACCTACTGTGTCTTAGGTGCTTTTATATCATTTGAAACTCATGACAATCCTTTGAAAGAGGTGGAGTTATATAATTTCAGTGGATTGAGAAACTGAGGCTCAGAGAGTCTAAGTGATTCTACCCCGGCTTGTTGAAACAGATTGTCAGGCCCCACCCAGAGTTTGTGATTCAATAAGTCTCTGAGTAAGGCCTGAATGTGCCCTTTCAACAAGTTCCCAGGTAATGCTGATACAGCTTGTCAGGGGGCCACACATTGAAAATCACTGCTCTACAACACACTACCTTTTCCTCCAACTCTTAGGCCTTAGAGCTGGAAAAGATTCCAAGAGGTCATTTGGTCTGTGTTCCTGCTCTCAGATAGATAAGACATTAATTATGCCTATTTTATAGATGACTCATTAGAGAATTGTTATCGGCAGCAAAGGGAGGAAATGTCCTGCCCAGAGTCAGTCAGGTGGTAAGTTCTGGGCTACTCTCATTCAGCATTAGGGTGACATTTAGCAGATAGGACACTTTTAAAGAAAGAACTCATCTTGTAAGCTAATTTCCCAGTCAACCTGCTGCCCTGCAGGCCAAGCCTCAACTGGAAGCAAGTTAGCTGGTTGGAGCCAGTCCCTTCCAGTTACCAGGATCACTGTCCATCACTCACAATGAGGGTGAGGGGGGTGGAAGAGGAGGGCCTGGGAGGCAAGATGCATCCCTCAGTCTAAGCCTAGGCTTCAACTTTGCCAAGGTCTTTGTCCACCCGAGAGGAAGTTATTCAGGTGACTCACAAAGTTACAGTGAAGGTCTAGGGTAGAAGGAAGACATTCATCATTTCATTTTACACTTCTATCTTATATTCCCTATAATACCCTGTTTTAGTAATTTAGTAAGTTATTGTCTTTTTTTGTATTTTTGCACCAGCAAAAAGCTTAATTGAAAAAGAAAGGCTTAAATGTTTCAACATAAACATTTAAAATAAAATATGATTTCTTTAAGCCTGTTGTCATATTTCTTCACTTTTTAAAATTAATATGAGTGTCAAAAAAGTGGCTTAGGTTTCCCTCTCCACCTATGAGAGATGCTGATCAGGGTACCCATGGCTGTATAGAAGCAAAACTGCAGGAAGCAGCATTTATCAAGGTAGAAATGAGAGGAGAATTGCAGAGAACTCCTGGATATGTGTTCAAGCCTGCACATCTCTGGCAAATCCCCATTCTGTTTTGGAGAAGTTGGAGGGGCAGAGCCTCCACACAATTCCTGATTATTAAATCAGAGAAACCTCCATCTGCAGAGAAACCTCCAATCAGCCCCCATCCCAGTCCCCAATCTTCTTAAACCTGTTCTCCATGCTGCACCAGTGTCTTTGCAGAAGGCTTAGATCTGAGCATTTCATGCCCCTTGTTGGATCCTCCACAGGAACAATAGCTCTAAGATAAAGCCCACATCCCTGGTCATAGATTACAAGACCAGGCACACCCACAGGCAAGAGCTGAGGCCAGCTAATTCTAATTGTCACAGATTAATGGCATTGGTTTTGTTTGCATGCCATCTCTGGGTTTGTGTTTAAAAAAAAAAGTTGTGTATAAAATCCCAATCAAGAAAAAATAACATTACCATGTAGGAGTTTACATCCATTGTTTGGATATGATTGCAAGGAAGATGGGGGAAGTTCCAATCTAATTGCTATGGAAACATAAGTACTTTTCATCTTATTTTTTAATAAAGTCTCAGTACTTCTCCCTACATTTTCATTAAATTTGAACTCGTACATTTAAATATCAGCACATCTCTAGAACCGAGAGTCCTGAATCTAGAGACAAAAGCAATCTGAAATCGGAGGAGCAGAGGCATTTTATCAGAAAACACGAAGGTGGAAAAACACAAGACTGGGATCTGCCCCAGGCTCCTTTTGTTTCCAAGTCTGTGCTCTCAACTGCCTGGCCACATATGTGCATGAAGTGGGGCAGAGGACAGGTAGGGTGGGCTATCTCCTGCGAGCCAGATCTGTGACAAGCCCACCACCATGCACAATAAGGCTGCCATGCTGAACTTACCGTATGAACCTCGCCAATTTCTTTATCCAATTTGAGGTTTGTTTCTTTTCCTTTAGTGTCCTTACCACTCTGAAATCCTGATTCAATAAAAACATTTATCTCTATTCATCTTTACAGACTTCATAGTCGAAGGATAAATAAAATGTATTGATTGTTTAAAAACTTCTTGCAGATCTAAATTAGAAGTTAACTCCTCCTACTTTCTGCTTTTCTGTCCCTCTCTTGTTCTCCATCCTCCTCTTTCTCTACCTTTTCTTATTTTTTTCTCTCTATGCTTGCTCCTTGGTTTTTCATTCCTTCCCTTTTGCATTCTGTAAACAGCCAGTCATCTTCCACGGCTCACAACCCCCCAGATTGCTAAGTGAGTAGAACTACTTAGGTCACAAGTGTGCTGGGTGATTATATTAATCAGCTTGGCCTGCCATAGCAAAATACCACAGGTCGAGTGGCTTAAACAGCAGAAATTTATTTTCTCACAATTCTCCAGGCTGAAAGTTCAAGATCAAGGTGCCAGCAGGTTTGGTTTCTGGTGAGGCCTCTCTTGCTGACTTGCAAACAGCCTCCTTCTCCCTTCTCTCTGTGTCTTCACATGGCCTTTTCTTTGTGTGCTGAGAGATACAAAGAGAAAGAGAGAGAGAGAGAGAGAGGAGGCTCTGATGTCTCTTCCGCTTTTATAAAGACACCACTCTGATCAAATAGGATCTCATTCTTATTATTATCTCACTTAACCTTTATTATCTCTTTATAGACGCTCTGTCAAAATACAGTCAGTCACTCTGGGGATTAAGGATTCCACATATGAATTTGGGGGAGGTCACAATTTGCCCATAATGATGATCTAGAATAAGCATGAACCTTTTTGCATCTCTCATCCTCATCTATAAAATGGGAATTTGGGGCCAAGTGATCTCTTAGATCCTATATAACACATTGGCATATTCTTCTCTCACTAGGAACCAGAAGAACCATCGATGGCACCTCTGTGCTCCTGCCCACCTTCCTCAATGTCACCTTCTCTTTTGCCTTTCATATGACTCCATAAAAGATGTGAGGTTTCCCAGAACTGCGGAGGGTCCACATTCCATCTGGGAGGAGAGGAGATGAAGGCATCAGACTCTTCCTGGCAAGCAAGCAGCCTGCTAAATGGTGCCAACAGTGACTGATGAGCAAGTTCTGATTCAGCAACCTGGGGAGCTTAAGGGCACTTCAATAGCTCTTAGACACTGGACCCTAGAGCAATGAGCAATATGAATCTATTAATGGCAAATCGCATCACAAAAAATGGATCCACCTTGGCATGAGCTTTGTAAATGACAGCATGAGAGGAACAGAGGGGCTTTGATGTTGTGGACCTGAGGGATGCTTCCAGCCACAGCCTGGTGAAATCATGGGATTGGCAGGCAGTTTAAAGGACAATGCAGTGACAGATGGAAATGCAGTTGTGTAAATAAATTATCCAGAAGCTCAGAAGCATGGCATATGTAAGTCTTTTTTACTGCTTTCATATTGAATAGTTCTTGGCAGCCATGTTACCTGTCCTCAGTGTCTTGGGTTTGAGTTTGTTCATTCGAAGGATGTGACCATGCTGGGGTCAGGGTACAATCTTTGCTCAGCAACAATTTTAATTATGGTGGAAAAGTGGATTCAATGGTGGTTCTAAATCCTTGTTGATAGGATGTGAAATGTGATGCTTCAGGTCACAAAATGAACCCTTCTTTATCTGGTCCTTGTTTGCTCCTCAGACCTTGTCTACTGACTCAGCCATTCCAGCTGAAATGCTTTTCACTGGTTGCTAGTCACAGCCTGTGTTCCTAGAGTACTCCCCCACCACTCAACCTCATCTAAGGCTTAGGGTTCACTTAACTGGTACTTTCCTTAAAACTCCTGAGCATTTCCCAAGACTCATTAACTAGTGATGCCTGGCCCTACCAGGCATGTCCTGTTCTTGTCGGTTAGAGTTTGCGGCAGACAGAGATAGTCAGCCCAGATCCTCCTTCAAGGAAGCACTTATCATTTCATTGCCAGGAATCCAGTCATCAGACACTATCCAATATTGAGTTTGGTTGTAGAGACCTGGGGCCATGCTCTTCTTGGAACAATCATATCAAATAAAGGAGCAGGATGAGAGCTAAGTGCCTGGCCATTTTCATCTCAGTGGGGAATCCCCCAATAAGCAGGAATTTCTCAGAACTGCCTTTGATTGGCCAAAGCTTTGTTGCGACTGGATCTTAGTGAAACATAAGCCCCTGCCCAATCTTCCTCCCTCTTCCTGCCACAAGTCAACACCTAATAAACCTTTGGGAGAGCTAATTCTGCCCCAGCATCTGCTTTCAGAGGGCCTGGCCTGCAACAGTGCAGATTTTATGAGTTGCTAAATGTTTTTACTATCAGTCCTCCTTATATAAACTGAATTGCTTTTAATTAAGACACACCCTATTCACTCAGGTTTTCAAATTTTAGCATCTGCTCTTCTTTCATCTTGATATTTCCTCTGTGCCATCGCTCTTTATCTGGATTATTCTCATTCTTTTAAAACTCATCCTAATAGTAAAAATCTTTGAGTCCTGAGAAGCCCCTCATGATAGTATTAAAGTTCTATAGCCATGCAACAAACTACCGCAAATTTAAAACAAGACAGATGAACTATCTCAGAGTTTCATATGGGTATGGGCTAGCTGTGTCCTCTGCTCAGGGATTCACCAGGCTGAAATCAAGGTGCTAGCCAGGGCTGCAACCTCATCTAAGACTTATGGTTCTCTTCCAAGCCCATTTGTGTTTTTGGACTGAAATCAATTTCTTGTAATGATGTAATTGACGTCCCATTATGTTGCTGTCTGTTTGCTTTCTTCTAGGAAAGCAGGAGCATATCTCTTTGACACCTCATCTTCTTTTAAAGGGCTCACCTGATTGGGTCAGGCCCACCCAAGCTAATTCCCATTTGATTGACTCAAAGCTGACTGATTAATAACCCAACCACAGGAGTAATATCCAATCATATGCACAGTTTCTAATCACATACAAAAAGAATAGGCTCTATCCACAGCACAATCAGGCATGCTGGCAGAGGAAGAAGAGTTTCATACTGACAATTAAATTCTCTGGCCTAGAAGTGACACCAGATACTTTAGCTCAAAACTCATTGACCAAAGCTAAATATATCCAACCACAAGCAGCCAGGAAGAGCCTTGTAGGTGGATAACTGGAAATATTTGACGACAATTATCGCAGACTATCACACAGGGTAAAGATTGTGTCTTTTATTTCTGGATCCTTGGGGCTTATTCGGTGACTGACTGAAAGACTGTCAACAAATGTGGACATCAAGAAAGAACATTCCCATAAAAATTTTTAAAAAAATAAATTTTCAAGGTATCTTACAGACCTTCTTTTGTTCCCTTCTACCACCTTGAAACCTAGAAAATAAAATTTTTTTCAACTGTGTTTTCATGACTGTCGTATATTTATTATTGGCTTCACAAAAATACTGTTAGTAATTTTTTTCTAAAATTCACATTTTTGAAACCAGAGAGCATAAAAACATTTCAATGCTTCATATTTACGTGAAACCATGGATCTCTAGTATCCTGACTGTGATCCTCATCTTGTATTTTAGGCTTTAGTGGTCTTCAGGGGATTCACTGTCCCTTCACCCATGTGCTTTGGGTAGCTACTCTTTCTGCAACCCTAAAAAAAGAGATATTAAAATAGGGTTAAAATTAGGCATGGTGTGAATTGAATATTCATAGCAATCATTTTTCTTACCTTTGTAAGAAAATGCCCTTGAAGAAGCAAACTTGGAACATTCCCTACATTGTAGTGTTTTTAAATCTTGTTTTCAGTATGACACAGATCAACTTCAGAGCAGCGGTGCACAAACAGTTCATTTAAGCAGCCAGAGCATTGGAAATTATGCATTTGGGAGGAACAATGAGCAGATTAAGGCTGTATCAACCTTTTCCCAGACCTCTGATTTTAAATAGAACATTGCAGTTACTCCAACATTTTGTCCACTTAAACCATCTCTAAAGAATCCTCACCAGTGATTCTTCTTGTACAGTGGTAAATTTCAGGCTTCATTATCAAATTAATGAGTTTTAATATCTCATAGAAATGGACAAAGTGGAATAATAGAGAAGTAAATGTGGAAAAGGTAGTCTCTTTTAGTACTGATACCCAAGCCTCCCACCGTCATCAGACAAGTCCCTTGTTCTGTAAAAGCAATATTGGGTGTGAGGTGGCAAACAAGGGTTAAGGGGCTGCTAGGAAAACCTGACTGGCTAGTGCCACTCCCTCAGTACTGAGGCTACAGAAGACAGTGTCATTATTCGAAATTCCAGACGATATCAGAGCAAAGGAGCCTCAGATATTCAGATTCTAAGATGTAGAGATCTCAGATCTAGGCTAAGAAGTCCAGGGAGAGATGAGTCAAGTCAGTAAGAAGCAAGACATGTAGGAGTTCAGGTGAGCAACACACATCCAGACCTGTGCACACACTCCATGTAGAAGGTCTAGGGTAGATGCTTCCTTAACACATCATGTGGTGAGACCAGACCATATGTGGCTGTGGCAGGCTAGAGCATCAGACTTGGCAGACAGGGGCAGAATAAGACAAATCATGAGGGCAAGAATAAAACAGTATGAGACCAAGGCTCACAACTTGACAAAAATCAGGGAAAGCAATCAATGGCTAAATGAAGAAAGAATAGGAACAGAAATGTCATAAAGATCCAAGGTTAATGCCAAGAGGAATGATAAACAGGTATGCCATAGAAACTAGGATCCAGGCAGAAGGAAGTCAAGATCAATTTCCTGAAATAACACATTGAGTACCCAGGGATTCTTTTGCCCTTTTGTACCCCAAAGCTTAACAGCAGTTTCTAAAACTTTGCATAAACAAATGAACAAGTATAAACACGAGTAGGTCTGAGGCTAGACCACTGTAGCCACACAGAGAACAAGTGAGCATAAATATGGGTTATAACAAGTTGGAAGAATGAGGATGCTATGGGAGTGCTTTTGAGTGGGACCAGCATTCCATGAATGCATAAAGCAGGTATATATATGTGTGTATATATATATATATACACACACACACACACACACACACACACATATATACATATATATGTGTGTGTGTGTATATATATATATATACACATATATACATATATATACACATATATGTGTGTGTGTGTGTGTGTGTATACATATATGACAAAAGCATGGCCAGTCGCCCTGGAGGAGCTCACAGGCCAGCAGAACATACGACAGCATGACTATGTAGCATGGCTGTTAGCTCCAACATTTCAATGAAGTTCTCTCTGCTTCCCTGGTAAAAGTCAGGAACCACTTGATAACTGTCAGCAAGATCAGTAACCCTGTTGTAATGACGGGAAGATTTTTGACAGAAGTAAAATTCTTAATGTATGGCAAACTCAGTCAGTGTGATGTTAAAGGACCTCTTGAGGAGGCACCTGAGACTGCACATCCTACAGAAGGTTACTCTGTTCTCAACACTGCTGGATTTCACAAGTGAGAAAACCCCTAGAGCACAGGCAATCACTGGATTCAAAAGAAGGATGGAAGCACTGTGGCCCTACAAGAATTTGAGCAGGCAGTCAAATGGCTATACAGTTCTAATGGTTGTTTGGCAGAGGGTTACTTTTGGAGAAAGATACGCATGATCATAAGAGGAAAGGATCTTCTTCCACTCTTCTTCCTTTTGAAAGAAGTGTATCTGTTACCCAATACAGGCTATGCAAACTTTGTTGTTCCCAGTTATCATAGGTCTCAAGGGCATTCAGTAGAGGCTTGTCAACCATTAAAATTGATAGGAGAGTCCACACTACCATCTGATATTGGCCCTTTAGCCCTAAATTCAGATGATCTCCACTTTACTGAGTAGTTAAGACTATTCTTGGAGTCCTAAGCCATATGACCTGATGTGTCTGGGCAATAAAGGGGAATGAGCTGAAGTCCAGTACGAGAGTGCTTGGGTGACAGAAAAGTCAGTCACCAAAAGCATCAAGTCCTAGAGAGGCAAAGCAACCTCCAGTCCCATCTAAACCAGTGTCTGTACCTTAGGGGAATTATCTGAAAGTGAAGTCTGCGGTGAAGGAAGACTACTTTTAGCAACTGTGGCTCTCAACATGGAAAGTGATGGATCAGTCAGTAAGATGTTACTCACTACTCAACAATGAATACTCATTATTTAAACTCATTTTTTAAGGGGTGATGCAGGTAAAAAAAATTAGATTTCAAGAAGCACAAGAGTTAGGACAGGGAATTTTCTTGAATTCCCATGATAGTCCCATTCAATGTCCCATTAAAACCTGGGACAGTGAAAGACCTTTTCTAAACGTGTTTATAGCCAAGTAGAAAAGGAGAAGTGGTGATTATTCCTTTGTAGACGCTAATTCTTGTCTGAGGAATCCAAATCTAAGGAAGGTTGGACTACACGTGTCCCTTGTATGGTGATGCCCTTAACCTACAGTTATCACTTCTTCTCCAGGCATTTGAGTACCTGACTTCTGCTCCAGCCATAATGAACAACTGCTTGATGAGTAAACCATCTTCCCTCATTGCATTTCCTTTGCTGAAACTGCCCTTGATTTTTCAATCTTTCTTCCTGGATTACTCCTGAGTGCCCTTCAAAACTCAGCCTGAGAGTTTTCTTTTCTAGTACACTTCTCTGGTCCTCCAGAATGCTGATGCATCCCTTCCAGAGCACCTTGGACTTAGCCCTCTGCTCATCTTTTCCATCCTCAATTATTGACGTTTACTTGTCTGTCCCATCAGACTCTCTGCCCCATCTGTTTACTTGAGCATCTGTGAGTTATTCAAGGGCCCGGACTATAAGACCGCATCAAACCAGTGTCAAAAAATAATGTCTGATGCCTTAGTAAGCGCTGAATAAATATTAATGACAAAAACCACAATTACTTTTGCACCAACCTAATATCTGTTGATCCTCTGAATGAAAGAATACATGAAATGTTACTCAGGCTGAGTTTCTAAAATGCTTCATTTTATCATTGTAGGGAAGTATTCCAAATACCTTTAGGATTAGATTGGTTATTATGTCATGTCTTTCAGAATTAATGCAGTTTATCAATGTTGTCATCACTGACATAAGGCCTCAGTTTCTCAAACAATCAATTGGAAGAACTACACTGATTTAGAGGCTTGTGTTTGCTAAAACCAGTTTCACTATTTAGATTCACACCTTCTTCTCTGTGAGTTTGTTTTGTTTCAATTACCATAAAACTAGTAAATAGAATCCTAGGTCTTCAAAATTACAGAACCAGAGGTCAGGAAAGGTGGATCCCAATAAGCGAAATAAAAAAATTCCATGGTCAAGGACATTGCCCTAAAGGATAAATGTATCTCATCACTATTTTTGTGTTGTAACACTTCGAACTTTCTAAAGTGATGTATAAGTAACATAGAGGCAGAAAAGTGGTTTGAATACCATTCTATATATAACTTCTATAAAGGTCTTTCAAACATTTTTTCATCAAAGAGTCCATTTCTTTTTGGGTCTAGCCAATCTTGCAGACTCCCTGGGAGACCTACGTTTCATCATGGAAACAGTCAATAATGTGTCCCAGGTTCAGAACCTCAATCTCTACCCAAGTTCCCAGGAACAATTTCTTGTGACTCCCATGACTTCCATTTACTTGTGACTTGGGAATCAGAGAAACAAGTTCGAGCTCTTTCTAAACTTATACTTTTAGAATGTTTCTCTGACACCTAGATCCAAAGCCCAAATGCTTTTCTTAAAATAAATTTTTCTTTTAAATGTCATGCTTTGAAACTTGAAAAGTTGTTTCCAATTAGTTATGTTATTAGAAGAATATAGCTGAGAAAACAACATAAAATGACAGAAATCCTCAAATAAATTTTATTTCCTAGCAAGCAACGTACATATTTATGTTTGGCTAACACATGAGCATGAATTTGTACTTTATGACTGTATGATATTGTAGGGCAGGAGAGTGGGAAAGAGGTTCTAAACTACATTCATAAAAATAATGATGATACAGTATACATAAGTAGGCTTCAGAATTCATAGCATGCTTTCACATTTTCACGTCCTTTAACTCTCACAACGGTTCTATAAGAGTTAGCTGGGTGGGCAAGCAAGATCATTGACTAAAAAGAGCAAAGGTTTTAAAATTAGGCAGCCTAGCATCCAATTCGAACAGTGCCATTTATTAACTCTGTAATCTTTACCTAGTGTCATGACGCATGCCAGCATCAATTTCTTTTTTTTAAATCTGTAAACGACAGTTTATTTATTTATTTATTTGTACTTTAGGTTCTGGGGTACATGTGCACATCTTGCAGGACTGTTACATAGGTACATACATGGAAAGGTGTTTTACCACATTCATCCCCCCATTGCCTATATCTGGTTTTTCTGCCCACATTATCCCTCCTCACCTTCCCTACCCCCTGCTGTCCCTCCCCTAACCCCCACAACTGACCACACTGTGTGATGCTCCCCTCCCTGTGTCCATGTGTTCTCATTGTTCAACACCTTCCTATAAGTGATAACATATGGTGTTTGTTTGGTTTTCTGTTCCTGTGTCAGTTTGCTGAGAATAATGGCTTCCAGATTCATCCATGTCCCTGTGAAGGACATGAACTCATCATTTTTTATGGCTGCATAGTATTCCATG